TAGGAAACTGGTAGAATGTGTCAGCAGCTAGATTGATAAGAATAGATGCTTCCAATGTTTCAAGCCTGAGGTTCACATTATCAATGAATGCTGCTACTGATGAGATCATACCATGCAATTTCAAGAGGCTGTGTTGTATGGAATTCTCATCACTAGGGCCTGGTTTTTCTGTATCGTTACAGGATTTCAGCAAGTGCAGTAGTTCAGCCTTTCTAGTAGTAGCTGGGAAGGGGGTGCTTCTACGTTTCAATTCCGTAGTAATCTTAGGGATGATCCAAGGCCTACAACTAGAGGCAGGGCTTATGGCTTCAGTTAATCTGGCAGGAATACTGAATCTAGCTGGAGTGCAAGGCAAGGAAAGGTTGTCTCCTTGCACCAAAAAGTGATACATACTACAATAGAAACAGAGTAAGATAAGTAGTGACTTGAAAAGGCGTAGCGTACCAGGAGCCCAAACCCACTCACTCACCATAACCCCTCCCCCGACCAAACCCTGAGACCCCGACCCATTACCGACCCGATGGGCCCACACCCTAGCACACACTGATGACCCTATGGGACCTCATTACAGGAAGGGGACGCATGAAAACGGTGCCATGACTGGTGACTCCCGCCACGGGTCTTTGTCAAAGCCCAGATAAAGGGTTACTGCTCGCTAAACGCACACAATCAACACAAGCAAAAGCCACTCGGAACTCCGACCAACCCACGACTACCCGACGCCCAAACCACCTCCCTAACCCCTATCCTGAACACAGTAAGGAAAGACAGCCAGGGAGAAACATTCCACACCAGACAATCGGCACTCAAGCCCTCTTAACACTCAGCACACACACTTAACAAACGCCACACTCCTGCACCAACACACAACGCTCCCACGCGTGCCTCCTGCGGAGACCACCAGAGGGGCCCCACCGGACACACGTGAGAGACCCCCTCCAGACCACATGCCCCCACCCCCCCTGAACACAGGGCATCGGGGCTGGCCCATGTGCCCGCTTGCACAAACATGACTCCTCCCCGGCTACACCCCCCTGCAGACACAAGAAGACACCCCAATCGGACCTTAGAATCTACACGATCAACGCCAAAGGACTCAACTCCCAACAGAAACGAGCAAGGGCACTGAGAGAACTGAAATCCCTGCACATTTCCACTGCGTTCTTCCAAGAAACGCACTTTCAAACAGCCAAACACCCCAGATTCTCAAATAAACACTACCCACTGAGCGTCCATGCCACCAATCCAGACTCCAAGACCAAAGGCGTAACAATACTCTTCGCAGCGGACATACCGTTCCTCAAAGAAGAGGAGCTCGCGGACCCAGGAGGCAGATTTCTCTTCCTGAAAGGTACTATACACAACAAGCGATTAACGTTCGCCAACTTATACCTCCCGAACAAGGGACAAATATCCTTCCTAGGGAAAACCCTTGCATTGCTAGACTCCTTCAGTGACTTCAATGCACCACTAGAACATAAACTGGACACCTCCACAGGCCACTCGACCCTCCCTAGCCATGGACACAGACGACGCCATGAAGGAGCCGATCACAGCGGAAGAAATATCACAGGCCCTGAAAATGGCCAAAAACGGGAAAAGTCCAGGCCTGGATGGCTTCACAATTAAATACTACAGAACATACCGCGAATCACTGATCCCACACCTACTGAACATGCTTAACGCACTCAGAAAAGGGGGGACCCTCGACCACAACACTCTGAGAGCAAACATAGTGGTGCTACCCAAAGAAGGCAAAGACCCCATGGCTTGCCCGAGCTACAGGCCAATCTCCCTGTTGAACGCCGACCTGAAACTATTCGCGAAGGTTCTGGCACTCTGACTCCAACCAACCCTGCCACAATTGATCCACCCAGACCAGGTAGCGTTCATCAGAAGCCAGAGACAATACCACCAAAGTAATTAACTTGATACAGACGGCCAAGAGCAAACAGATGCCCGCACTCCTGATCTCCACGGACGCGGAAAAGGCGTTCGTCAGGGTAGATTGGACCTTCCTCTTCGCAACGCTACAACACCTAGGACTGAACATGAGGAGGTGGATAGAAGCTCTATACAATGGACCGTCCGCACAAGTCTACGTGAACAGCACACTATCTACACCATTTCAGATACACAACGGCACCTGGCAGGGCTGCCCCCTCTCGCCTCTTCTGTTCATGTTAAGCCTAAAACCCTTCCTGAACGTGATCTGCACCAGACTGGATATCGGGGACATAAAAGAAAAATGGGGGGAAAGCAAAATCTCAGCCTACGCCGATGATCTGCTGTTCACGGTCCGAGACCCGAAAACATCACTGCCGGCTATCATGCAGGAATTCGAAAAGTACGGCTCACTATCCAACCTCCGCATTAATTACTCCAAGTTGGAGATCCTGCACCTAGGATGCGACTGCACCCTGATCATGACCCTCAAAGCACGATTCCAGCTACATTGGCGCAAGGACGAACTCAAATATTTAATACAAGTAGAAATGGAAGTGCACTCTATCCCTCACTGTGGAATCCAGGGTGCTCCATGGAAAGTCCCAGTACCAGATAAGGACCAAAAGTGGATAAATATAGGATAAAATCCAGGCACTCCAACAGGTTCCAAATTTAAGGCAGTTTATTTGAACCAGGAACTACACAGCAACGTTTCAGCTGCTAGGGCTGAAACGTTGCTGTGTAGTTCCTGGTTCAAATAAACTGCCTTAAATTTGGAACCTGTTGGAGTGCCTGAACTCAAATATTTAGGCATATGGCTCACTGCGGATCCCTCCCACCTGTTCAGGCAAAACTACCCCCCCTCCTGGAACGCGTACTCAAAGACCTAGCCGAATGGGACGTACCACACATTACCTGGCTCGGCAGAGTAAACAAACATTCTTAAAATGAACGTCCTTCCACGCTTCCTATACTTACTCCAAACGCTCCCGATACTTATCCCACAATCCTTCCTGGTCCAGGCTCGCAAAGCCTTCACGAAATATGTCTGGCGGAACCGATAAAGTACAACATCCTTACAAAAGCCAAACCGCAGGGCGGACTGGGACTCCCGGACCTGATCAAGTACCACCAGACCACCCATCTATAACGGATAGCCGAATGGACCCTGGGGACAAAAGACAAACTCTGGATAGCCATAGAAGCCAGCTTTTCACAAGACCCGCTGTGCTCGCTCCCGTGGCAACTCCCAGGCCAGACAAGAAGATATGACACTAGACACCCCATGATAGAGGCCACACTGAGGGTATGGAGCAGGTTGACAGGAAATCCGGACCTCGCCCCGCCTGTATCGCCTCTATACCAACTCTTGGGCACAACGGTTGAGGGCCTACAGATCACAGGGTGACACACCCCGCAGACCAGGAGATTACTGCACACACACCTGGAGACAGGACACCTGAAAACCAAGACAGCAACACACGAATACAGCAACGGGAGCACCTGCAACAGACTGAACCGAGGAGGCGCCCGGGTGCTGGCGAGACGTGGGTGCTTAAACACCCTGATAAAGCCCCATCCCTAAACCCCCCCCAGGAACATGACATACACCCCCACAAAACACAAAGACAGAACAAACACAGTAGACATACCACCACAAGACTACGCTATACCACCCAAGATCTATAGGGTACTAAGACGCACTAGGGGGCTCTGCCAGGGCCCCCCACATACCACAAGGCGGCCACCGCCTGCCCCCATCACACTCACGAAGACGTCCAAGACAGGCAGACAGCTGCTCGCACGTTCAGCCAGTCCATAGGAAAGCATTCTCAATGCTTTCCTATGGACGCTGGCGTTTTCCGCGTGGAAGCGCCTCTAGCAGCTGTCAATGAGACAGCCACTAGAGGCTGGATTGACCCATATGTAAACATAGCAGTTTCTCTATGCTATGTTTACAGCAAAAAGGGTTAAACCTAGCTGGACCTGGCACCCAGACCACTTCATTAAGCTGAAGTGGTCTGGGTGCCTATAGTGGTCCTTTAAGCCACTGTTTCCCAACCCAGTCCTCAAGACACACCTACCAGTCCAGGATTTAGGGATTACCCAGTTGTGTCTAAGGTGTTTTTACAAAGAAGAAAAAAAACACCTTAGACACAACTGGGTAATCCCTAAATCTTGGACTGGTAGGTGTGCCTTGAGGACTGGGTTGGGAAACACTGCTTTAAGCACACAATTTGGCATCGAGCTATATGGTTTTAGGTTGCATGTTCATGGTGATTGTACTTGAATTGAAGATTGAAATATCACTGTTTTACATTTCCCATTAATTATATGTAAGCTCATTTTCCACTCTATCAAGCACTCAGTTTGTTTAAATACTCAAGAGAGGATCCATAATGTCTGATTCAGAGTGTTCTCTATGTAAAACTGTGATGTAGCTGTGGGAGAAATAAAACTTCAAGCATTGCCTTTTCAATAAGTAAAAGGGAAGATACCCACTTTAAAAGAAACTGCATTATGGCATGGTAGATAGAAAAAAACAAGTTGTCATTTCTAGAATATTTTACAAGCTCACAATTACATGGAATGCAATAAATCAATTTAGAATAAATAACTGCCTAAGAATAGTGTGAATTATGCTCTAGGGTAGTAGCTTATATTTGCAACGGTCACCATTTTAATTCAGCCCTCTCCACTATTGAAAGAGCAAAGGAGAGGATATTCATATATGCAAACATAATTTAATATGAATAAAAAAGTAGGAGAAATTCCCCAGCATGTGCCCTCACTTCCTGTGTTCTGGGGGCAGCGCCGCCTGGGATGGTGGAGTGGAAAGATGGTGTGTGCCGGCGGAGTTTCGCTGACTACCCTGGAGTACTTCGGTGGATAGAATGGCAACTGCTGAGATTACTGCATTAGCGAGGATGGGAACATGTCCCATGGCATGTGGGCTCATTCACTTACAGTTCAGGATTACCAGGACTTGATAGCTAGGGGATGAAGAAAAGTGGAAAATATGTGTACAAGCTGCACATGAGCCAAACTTCTGTCCTCAGTACACCATCAAGTTGGCAGCATTAAACTTTCAACCAAACAAATCTCACAAGAAAGTACTAAAGAAAATTAGAAAGTTTATTCAGAATGGAGAAATGTCTCATTCAACAAGTGATGGGACTGTTGGAGAACCAATGGATTCTCAGGCCATTAGCCCAGTTTCCTACAATGTATCCATTCCAGAAAAGCCTGAAATCTCGAAAGAAGAACTAAAACCACTGTATACCAAACTAGAGGAATCGGAACAAGATCAGCATGAGAAAGTTTTACATTCACAAAGTTACTCTGGCATTAATGACCAAAAGGCAGATTGCATACAAAGTGCTAAAGTTCAGACTATAGTCACCTCAACTCCAAAACCAGGCAAAGGAGCCGATGCAAATAAGCCACCCTGCCATAAAGCCAAAGATATCCGCAAGGAACGTCGCATGCAGAAACAGTTACTTCAGCAATCCGATAACACTTGTTTGTCACCCGAATCCCCTGTCATCAAACCCCCAAAACCTCAGAATGTCAGTCGCAGCAAGACTTTAGAGGAGTTCATCTCTGTGACACAGTTCGAACCCACAGCTCACACTCTGGAGGTGAGACTTGTGAGGTCTTCTCCTCCCAGTTCCCAGTTCAAGTCAAGTTTTCAGGAGTCTTGCCAGGTCTATAAACACAAATCAGATGACCATTCACGAGGACTGCGTAAACGTACAGTAATTCCGTATAGCATCTACAAGAAGAGGCGAATAGGGCAAAATGACGAGGGGGATGTTAGACAATACACAGGGCTAGTCGGACAGACCTGCGCAGAACGCACAGTTCTCTACTGCATGTGAGACGTACAGACTACATTTCTGTGAGAGATCTTCAGGCCCTCTGAGACTTGGAAGGAAATTGTAATCTGTGCATGCCAGTAATTCCATAGGTATGGAAAATGGGATCATAATCAACAACATTTGAAGGACTGGAAAATATGCTTGAAAATGACAAAGTTATTCTTATCCATTGAAGATTAGAATATCCTATAGACATCTTTCTAAATCTGAGAGCTATGCAATGAAATTTCTAAATGTCTATTAGTTCTCATGCCTATCACCCATGTGCCCTAAAATTTAGACTTGTGCAGCACTTTTTCCTTTCTCAGTCTGAACATATGAAAGAGAAATTTGACATTTTAAGATTTCAGTTATAGATTTAATATTATAGTTCAGGGTTTCCACTTTCCAAAGCTGTGTATTTCAAAGTCGTCTGATAGACTGATGGTTAACCAAGCTGGAAATGTTCAGCTTCTGGGACCATCTGCTTTTTTATGTACAATACAGACATAACTCATTGGAATAACCAACTAGTAAATAATTTAAAAGTACCACGTCCGCATATTAATGTCCTAGACCACCATTTGTCATGCTGTCATTTGATGCAATGCAGGTAACTACATTCAGGTCTTTTATTACTATATCACGTTTTAATTAATTTAGCTGTTATTTTTTGTGTCTGTGGAATGTAACGTGTAAATTTATTGCTAAAATAAAACAAGACAAGTGTTAAAAAAAAAAAAAAAGTGGGAGAAATTAAAGGACCACTATAGTGCCAGGAAAACACACTCATTTTCCTGGCCCTATAGTGCCTTAAGGGTGGCCCCACCCTCAGGGTCCTCCTCCCGCCGGGCTCTAGAGGGAGGAAGGGGTTAAACTGACCTCTTTCTCCAGCGCCGGGCGGGGGACTCTCCTCCTCCTCTCCTCCTGCTCGGCTGAATGCGTATGCGCGGCAAGAGCCGTGCCTATAGTGGTCATTTAAGATTTTTTTTGTTTTTGTTGTGCATGGCATTTTAACTGTGATTGTCTTAATAATTGCTTTTATTGCAATATAATAAACATATTTGTATTCAGCGATGTCTCACAAGTAGAACAGTACCCCCTATGTACAGGTTTTATGATATTTTGGAAAGTTACAGGATCAAATATAGCACATTATGTTTTTCAGTTTACAATTTGACAGACAGGCTATGTTGTGCTTGAGACCGTATGGTAGCCCAGGAATGATAATTACCCCCATGATGGCATACCATTTGCAATAGTAGACAACCCAAGGTATTGTAAGTGGGGTAGGTCCAGTCTTTTTTAGTAGCATTTTAGTCACAAACACTGGCCAAACTTAGTGTTCATATATTTGTGTGTGTGAAAATGCAAAAAAACATATCTAAATTATGAAATCTAAGTATGGCCAGTTTTTATACCAGACAGCCACTACAGAGTTTGACTCCGTGAAACGATGCTGGACATCCTCACGATTTAAATGTGGATGTTCAACGTCTTCAAAACCCCCCACATGAAAGCATTGAAGAATGCTTTCCTATGTGAAAGCCCTAATGCACGCTCAGCCATAATGTGCAGTGACCTTGGTGCTGAAAAAAGGTGAGTGTAAAAGGGATTTTTAAAGCCTTTTACCACTAGAGGCGAGGGAATCAGACCACCACCTCAATGCATAAGGACACTATAATGTTAGGTATACAGTTTTGTATTTCCAACACTATAGTGCTCCTATAATGTAGCAGGTTTGGTGTATAAATCATGCCCCTTTAGTCTCACTGCTCATTTAAAATATATTTAATATCTAGGACTTTTCAGGAAGTGTTTAGGAAGGCTGTGCAAGTTGCATGCAGGGAGGTGTGACTGTGGGTATATTAACAAAAGTGAGTTAACCCCTAAATGGCAGAGAGCAGTGAGACTACAGGGGCATGATCTATACATCAGCTAAGCTAACTTGGTTTTGGTGCCTATAGTAAGCCAAAAGAAAGAGAGAGGGTGGAGTCTTTGCTATTTTCAGCTCATTTCTTGTTTTCTTTTTGGTGTGTAGTCATTTTGATTAATAGGGTATTATAACCTGGTATATAAGAATAACCTTATATAAAGATCGAGGGAAAAAACACACAGGTACTTCTTGCTTCTGTGTCTTTATTGTAACTAAACTCAGCTTCTGCTTTCTGTTTCAGGAGGAAAAGGAAGGAGTAACAACAAACTTTATTTACACTCATTTTAACCATACAATGTACAACATAGGTTACATCACTATGAGATCACTTTTAGTTTATATCTCAACACCCCCACTTGCTCTCAAGTTTGTCGTTTTGCATATTCATATATTACACAACTTACATTCCAAATATATAACTCAACTTTTCTAACTTGGACTTTGTTGCAGGCTTAGTCATAACATCTGCTACCATCTTGTCAGTCGGACAATAGTCAAGAACTATGTTACCTTCACTGATATCAATATGTTTGCATCTCTGATGGCAAACAGGATTCTTTGAAAGAGATATTGAACCTTGATTGTCCCCACAGATTTGTATTGATTCATAGTGACACCCATTGTCCATTCCTTCGAGTAACTGCACGAGGTACTGACTTTCCTGTGTAGATGCAGCCAATGCCATGTATTCAGCTTCACACGTAGATAAAGCTACTGTGGTCTGTTTCTTTGACTTCCATGGAATCAGTGGACCATTCTTGGTTAGACTAAAGCAGTATCCAGTCGGACTCCTATCGTTCATATCAGAGGCCCAGTCAGCATCACTATACGCCACAAGTTTAAGGTTTTCTCTACTCTTTTTGTAGCACAAATCATAGTCAATAGTATGTTTTAAGTATCTCATCACATGCGTAGCTGTGGTTAAATGTTGTTCTGTTGGCTCTGACAAGCATTGTGACAATTTACTGATCACCCAGCTTAAAACCGGTTTTGTACAGGTCATTGCATACAGCAAGCTACCTACTACTTCTCAATATCTTTTTTTTATCTACAGGATCATTATGACATATTTTATATTTATAAAATATTTTACCAGGAAAGATACATTGAGATTTCTCTTGTTTTCAACTATGTCCTGGATCCACAAAACATTGCATTGATACATTAGGGTACAATAAAATACAAAAACTATATTAACACACAATATATATATAAAATTTAACATAGAACAGGTAGGAAATATATAATCAACCATGACAGGTGCATTCTGTTTTGAGGTATGTAGAGAGGGATCTCTTAAAGGACTTTAGGCTTAGGGAAGATTTTAAAGTGTGCGGGAGGTCGTTCCATAATTGTGTTGCTCTGTAGGAAATGGAGGACCGCTTTCTTTTTATATTGAGCTAGGCTAAATATCATCATGGTCCAGTTTTTGGTCAAATGGTGTTGATCTGGGTTTACAATCTGTCATTCCAAACTTTTCCAGAATCTTTGATATGTATCTCTTTTGATTCATCTTTACCAAACCATCACTTTGTTCAAAATCAATAACTAGGAAATGTTTGATCTTCCCAAGATCTTTCTTCTTAAATTTTACTGCAAGCATTTTCTTTACGTCATTGAGTACAGTTTCTTCTCTGGAACCGATAATGAGATCATCAACCCATATTAACAGTATTACTCTCTCATGTCCAGATTGTTTGACATATACACAGTGGGCAGCTGGATTTTGTTCAAACCCCTTTTCACTTAAATGATCATGTAGCGTCTTGTTCCAATTTCTACCTGATTGTTTTAGACCATACAATGACAATTTTAAAAATAGTTTCTCATTTTGCTTGGACTTTACCTCAAATCCCTCTGGTTGTTCCACATAAACCTCACACTCAATTAGGGCATGTAAATAGGCTATTTTCACATCCATCTGGTGAAGAAGTAAATCATAATGTGCTGCCATTTGCATAAAAATACATACTTATGTAATGTTTGCAGTTGGAGAAAAAAAAAACTTCCTTGTACTCAATTACCTTTACTTGACTATAACCTTTAGTGATAGATCTGGCTTTGTATGTTTCTAGCCCATCAACATTGTGTTTCACTGCATACACCCATCGACCCACCACTGAACGTTTACCGTCTGGTAAAGTAGTCAAAGTAACTGTGTCATTTTCTTTCAGTGAATCTATTTCCTCTGGCATAGCGTTAAGCCAATTATGAACTTATAGCATCTTTAAAGGTTTGTGGTACATCAAACACCTTGTAACAGTAATCAATGTTTGTTAGTAACTGGTCATCAAACTCAAAATCTGAAACATAGTCCTCCAAGTACTGAGGAGTTTTTCTGTCTCTTTTAGGTAATGAATGTGGTCATTACCTGCCTGACCATTGTACTCATTTCCTAAAGTCTATTTCAGAAAGTTGGATCATCTCTGGACACTTAATTCCAGCCTGTGCTAAATGGTTGTTAAAACACCTGTTTCTGATGAGCGGCAGTCATTACTGCATATGTCCATAATTATTTTGGTAATTTACTCTCAATTAACAGACATCTCACCATTTTAAATAGCGTTCTCCAATTTCTCTCAGCTGTCCCATTCTGATGGGGTGAGTAAGGTGCTGAGGTTTCATGTCTTATGCCTCGCTTACTTAACAGTGACTTAAAACTGTTTGCTGTGAACACTGTAACATTGTCTGATCTTATACATTGTATGACTCCCTATAGAGCTGTATCAGCAATGAACCTTTCAGTGGCTAACATTGCATTCTTGTTTTTCAGAAAATATACAAATACTGCACCAGAGTAATCATCAGTGAATGCTACTGTATATCTTAAGCCCTCTTTAGCTTGTGGGTCTATAGGACCTGCCAAATCAGCTGTGGCTCTGGTATCAAGTTCTCTGTTCCTACTCTGAACAAATTTTCCCTGAGGGCAAACTTAACAGTTAAGATTAGACTTAGCAATCTTACCCTTAATTTTCATTCCTTCTACCACATTTTGTAGTTTTGCAATATCATAATTACAGTGACCTAGGATTTCATGTCACATTTGAATATCATAACATCCATGACAACCGTCATTATTTTCAAC